TGACTCTGTAAACCGCTTAGAGAGGGCTGAAAGCCCTATGAAGCGGAATATACGTCTAACTGCTATTGCTATGTTTACATGCTTTCGAACTGCTAGGTTGGCAGAAGCTGGGACAAGTAACGGGAGCTCACTCCGTTACGCGGCACTAGAGATTCAAACCGCTGAACTGCTGACCTGCTGACCTTTCTGATTGACAAGCTCAGCGTCTTAGCCACTGAGCCACCACATCCTTAGGACTACCTATACCACACAGTATAAAACTTGGACAACCATCACTCCCTCTTACCTGTAAGGTGTAGCGTTCTATTAGTTCCCGGTCCAAAGGCCTTGCCACAAATACTTCTCCATAGGTGCTGTTGGTTGTACGGATTTCAAAAGCCCTGCCTATGTTTCCCAATACCAGTGAAAAAACAACCTGCATAACAAAAATAAAAAATATATATGGTGAAAGCGTGAAAGAAGAGAGGAAGTGAAGAGAATTAGTCCATTCGATAGAAAGTAACAAAGTGTATATTTTATTTACTTATCATTGTTTTTTCTTTTTTTATGTGGTGGCAAGTCAAATTCTGTCCTCAATTATACTACTAACCCTTAGACAAGAAGTTTTCTACTGGAATTATTGCATTTGCATATGTAAAGGTAAAGGTTCCCCTCGCATATATGTGCTAGTTGTTCCCGACTGTAGGGGGTGGTGCTCATCTCTGTTTCAAAGCCGAAGAGCCAGCGCTGTCTGAAGATGTCTCCATGGTCCTGTGGCCGGCATGACTAAACGCCGAAGACACACGGAACGCTATTACCTTCCCACCAAAGTGGTCCCCATTTTTCTACTTGCATATTTTTTTATGTGCTTTCAAACTGCTAGGTTGGCAGAAGCTGGGACAAGTAACGGGCGCTCACTCCATTACGCGGCACTAAGGATTTGAACTGCTGAACTTTCTGATCGACAAGCTCAGCATCTTAGCCAGTGAGCCACCGCGTCCCTTGCATATGTACACAATTAAAAATGAAAACTAGGTATGTAAAACAACATTGCATTGTTTAAAAAAGAAAAAAAACACAATATTGGATACTTAACTGCAGAGGAAGTTAAATTAAATCAGGTAGTTGGACACAGTGAATATAAAAAACTAGCGAAGTAAAACCGATATGTAAATGAACTAAAGAGATAACCAGGGAGCTTGTGAAAGCTATTGTTGTCTTTGGAATGAATATCATCAGTAGAATTCAAACTGAAGCATATGAAAGCAGGTGTTATCCATTAAGAATGAAACTCCCGGGTGTTCACAGCTACCTCAGGTACCAAATTAAAAGAAAGAAATGGGCCACACCTTAAATGCAAAGCGCTTCCTGTTTAATATTGAAAGGAGTTCTTTTTGGTGCAATGAAATGGCGAAAGAAAAATGCATCTGAGGCTTTTTTTGCAGCCTTTTCAAGCCCATTGTCCTAAGTCAGCTGCTGAGCAGCTTCAGGGCACCAGAGGAAATGGTTTGCAATGCTGTTTTTTCCTATGTTATTTCACAAGCCACCTGGCTTACCCATCGCCTTAAGCGACATGCAGCCTGAGTTATCTTACTTTCTAAGACTAAGTAGTTACACTGAGCCAAAGGGAAGAAGAACACAGGGTATTCTAATTTATGGGATGGGGCGTGATTCATTCAGGGTAAGCACTGTTGGTAAGCACTGTGTGAGCTGTAAAAATATTTAGGGCTGTTTTTGCCAGCATCAACCTCTACACTGTCTCCTCAAAAGAAGAAAAGATGAACCGAAGATACAGTGTTGATGAAGACTTCTATTAAGCCAGCAAAAAGAAAGTTGCCATTTCAGTCTGATTTTATATATATACACATACACATACACATACACACACACACACACACACACACACACACACACGATTAGAGGAGGGGGAGGAATAGCAGTCCAGGACAAAATTTATCCTCTTCTGGTGCCAGTAATGTGTGAGCAGGGGTGGGCTTCAAAAATTTCAACAATGGGTTCTCTGCCATTGACACTTATAAGGCAACTTTCAGGTAAGACTAGATAATCTAGGATAGCTTGCTGTGGCCAAGGATAAAGAAAGTACCTCTGCAGTACAATTGTAAAATACTTTGCATAAATTTATGACGTTTCCTTCACAGTTATTTTTTTGTTCAGGAATATTGTGTGTACCTACCTAGAAAAGACCAAGTTCAGAAGTTTTTCTTAAGTAACTTCTAGTTTGTTAATGCAGAAATTAAGCATCATTTACTTATAATCCTGTGTACATTAAGGAAGTGGACAAACATCACATTTCAATACCCGCTGCTACAATTTAGAAACTGTGTACTGTGAAGTGATGTAGTCACAGCTACCTGTCCATTGTTCCCTGCATCGGGATCTCTGGCCAAAACCAGAGCAATTCGACGTCCAACAGGGCTGTCCTCGGAGATGCTCACAGAAG